CAAGAAGATAGTGGGAGCATTGTCGTATTCCTAATATTATAGAAAACGACATCCCTATGTTTCAATCATTGAAATAATGGTTGTTAAAAGATTTATTCTTAAACGATATGGGAGAAACAACTTGATCTATAGAGATAGATCTAGAATATTGTTTAACTCATCCCAATCTATATAAAATATTGAGAAGATTTTATATGGAGAAATTGGTTTACTCTTAAACGGTATATTGGAAAGGTTCCGAATGTGAAGCAACCGTTGATTCAATAGTAGAAACCTAATACATGATTGCTTCAGAAGTAGCAAAGAGTTGCAATATGGATCATGATGTTCATAAATGAACTTAGAGTAGTTCCTAATATTGTTGATCACATGCCATTGTATTGTGATAACAATAGAGCCATTGCGAAAACAAAGGAAATAAGGTCTCATCAATGATCCAAACATGTATTAAGGCGGTATAATCTCATCAGAGAGATAATACATAGAAATAACGTAAAGAGAAGAACAAATTCCCACATTTAACAATATTGCAGATCCACTGACAAAGAGTTGTCCTAGTATAAACATGATCGTCATGTAGACTTATGATATTGGATTCATAAATGATTGGATCTAGTACAAGTGGGAGTTTGTAAGTATTATGCCCTAGGTCCAATCAACTTTGGACATAAATACTTTTGATATATAATTAATGCAATTTAATGGCGGATCTATTATTTAATTAATAGACAATTAAATAAATAATAGAGTCCGTAGATTCAAATTTTCGTAATTTGTTAATCACAAGAGTTGTGATTGTGAGATACAAATTACATCTGATTGAATCTTAAATTGTCCGTGGTCATAAGTAATAACGAAATATGGATATCGTTATTACGGATAGACCATCACGTGTAGCATTTCTTACTTGTGAAGTAAGTAGCTGATCTCACAAGTTAAAGTGTGGTGACACTTAAATGAACACGTGGATGTTTTATTATAGAACAAAACATTGGAGACATGTCGAGAGATTCCACATGGATACCTATTTGAGTGTCAGTGGTTAATCTCTAACGTTCGATAGTGGAATTGGTCCTTTGACTTGAGGTCGTCATGGTACCTTATATGAGGACAGTCATACTTTAAAGGTGTTGGATGTTGCTCTGCAAAGGGCCGCTAATACGACATCGTTCGAGTACGACAAGAATCGTATGAAAGTTGTGATTAACCAATAAAGGATTCGTCACTCTTAGTTAGTAGGAGATTATGATCTGCGTTTCATTCAATTAAATCGATAACGAAATTCTTGGCCAAGGTGTACTCATAAGTCGAAAATGAGTTTTCGACTTATATTGACTTAATAGTGGAGTGAAAGATATGATCGATGATTTAGATTGACACACTTCTATATCTCGTAATTGATTGGGTCATATTGACGAAGGGATTATAGTTTCACGGTAAAAGAACGAGTTTGGTTTTGTCACACCACATGACATTTTTCGTCACATGTATTGCCCTGACACATTACTAGATGTCAATCAGGGACGGCGAGTGTGAATTGACGAAAAATTAAAAGGGTGTTTTAATTTATCAATTTTGATTAGATCAAAATAATATTTCACGTCGTTAAACATCGTGGTCGGGAACCTAATGGGTCGCACACAAAAAAGAATTAGAAGATTACAAATTACCAATTGATTAATTTAACAATCGTTGGATAAATTAATTAATTGGATTTGTTATTTATATTCCCGAATTAATTAATTAGATTAATTAATTCACGAACCAGATTTAATTAAATGGATTAATTAAATATGGACCGGACCGGGTCGAGCTCGTTTGCGTTCATATAAATACATGGTTAGGGTTTGAGGTTCATAAGGTTTTTATTATTCTTGCTGACACAAGAGAGAAAACCCTAGTAGCTGCAATCTTATTCTCTGTGTGAATCACCGTTGGAGACTGGACAATTGGACAGTTGTGGATGGCGAATCAAGATTGCTGGAACGAAAAGAAAAGCAAAAGGTTTGCAGAATTTTTCAAAGGTACAACCTTTATCACGATTTCTATCTAAACACAAAGATATACTCGGTGGGAATCGAAATAATTTTACTTTTTCGCTGTGCATGTATAAGTAGATTCCCAACACTTTCTTCACATTGAATTATTATACTTAGGTTGCTTCAGAGATTAAAACTTTTAATAGCTTAAATTAGTTACAATTTACTAATCGAGTCAAATTATATATAGCTACAGTGCAACTAAGTACTTCAAATATGAAAAGTGGATGTGTACTGTAAATGTAGGGTAAAAAGGGATAAAATATGAAATGTCACTGTATCATCAGAAGACAACACGATGTCGTTTTTACTCCATGATGGGGAAAAAAATGACTTTGCTACAGTATGATAAAATTGAAGAATTCACTGTCGATTTTTACAGTAACTTCTCATTCTCCTTTTTATAAAGTAGGTATATAAATTTGAATGAATTTTCTTTCTTGTGCCTTTGTGGACTTTTTCTTCTTGCGGGGAGGTGAAGGGAGTGGATATCGAGCACAATATCGATAAAGTCTGAGAAGGCCTACTATGTTATCTTGTAGTTGTTACTTGCTAGCTTAGTTTTCAAATTGGGACTTAATTTGCGAATCAAAATCTAACAGTGAATCGTGAATCGGTAATAGAATCCAAATCAAGTTAATATATGTTGTAAGTTTCATATAACATAATATTTAAGAATCGAAAATTGTTTCCAACAAACTAAAGTTGCATTAGCTGATTTGTGTATAGAAATTTGTGTTTCGATATTGTAAGTGCAGGAATGAATCTTATTTCTTGGTGCCCAATTACTGTGATTGTATTTCGGCAGCTTGTATTGGACACTAACTGATGCTCAATTTCCTGATTTAATGCAAGTTTTCTCCTCTAACTTTAAGTCTGATTTTGGTTCCTATGTAAAGGCACTGCGAAGTAGTTTAATTTTTTCTCACATGGCATTTACTACAATCTTCTGCTGCACCTTCTGTCCAACAATTAGCTATTGGAATCAAGTTCTGTTCATATTAAAGACTTTTTTATGTCACTTACTTCTGCTGGCGCTTGAAATGAGAATGAGGAAACCTAAAAACTCCATCCAGGAATCTATACATTTTGGAGTGGGGCTACTGTTGACTCTGATCCTTTCTTTCCTTCTAAGATGCCTGTTCTTCTGGAGTGCGAGCTTCAAGGACATCATAGAGAAAGGAAAAGGAAAGTGTTAGCTTTCAAAATTTCTATTGTTGTGCAGTTAGTTAACAGTTGCCAATTCTTCCTGCTTCAGCGTCTTATTGAGAATCGACATCTTGTTGTGCATTTTATTACTTGAGCTAGTAACTGTATAATTATATGCTGTTCGATTTCATTGTTAACAATAAATACAGTCTGTGTCAATAGAGAGAATGTACATATTCTTGGCAATGACCTGTCAAAGACTAGACTCGACAATTTTCTGATGAGGAACACATCTTGAAATTTATAATAGACCCATGTTACACTTAAATGGTTACAGATCATAGAGTTAAGAATCTTTTTAAGTTGATCGATACCTAGCATTTAACGGATAATTAATATCAGTTTTGCTCACAACTTAACGGATAATTAATATCAAGTTATATCATAATTTTATGGGATAATTATAGATGTGGTCTCAATCTATTAATTTGTTGCAGCTTTTACCCTAACTTTTTAATTACTATAGTCGTCGTTTCAAACCTTTTACTCGTGTGGGGGCGATTTATGTCCATTAATTGATTAGGAAAATTGTATTTTGATCAATTTATAAAAGCAAGAATTGATGACTTTACAGTAAAGTCACATAAATAAATTAAATAACTAAATAAAATAAAGAGAAAAAAAATAAAAAAACATATATTCTTTCTTCTTCTTTTTGATTCCCACCACTACCTGTGATATATTTTATTAATGACGAAAAAAAAAATAGCCCCTATTTGGGAGCCTTTCTTAGCAAATTTTTAGTAAAATTCTTATCGTTACACAGTAAAGCCTATTTTGTCCAAGCCAAGCAAAATTTTAATATTGAATTAATAATAATGGCTCCAAGTGCCCGAATTTTGATTAAAATCAAGCAAGAATTGCTTCTAGACAAGCACATAATATAGACTTGGAGATGGCAAAAGAATCGAGTAACTCGTCGACTCATCGAAACTTGGCCTATGGAGGGCTCAAGCTTATCCCGAGATTAGCTGGATCCCCAGCCAACTGAGCTGCTTGTTCGACGAGCCGAGTAAGGCTCTACTTGCCAAGCTCAGGAGACTAAAATTCACAAGTCGAGCTCGACTTGTGAGCCGTAAAAAATGTGGAATAAAACTCGAGCGCATGGTCTCGGCTCGTGAGCTCACAAGCTTGTGGTTCAGCCCCTGAACATGAGCCGATTGCTCAAATCATCACTCATGGGTACATGAGCTTGGCCCATTGTCATTCCAATATAGACTTATGAGGAATATTAGGTGTAAGAGTACAATTTTTATTTAAGAGTTCAATTTTTATTTAAGCGGGGTGGGTTTGGTTTTTATTGGGGGACGAGGGGTGGATGATGGAATATTATTTTTTATTTCTCTTCTTTATATAATTATTTTAATTGATTTTATGTGGATTTAGGTAAAGTTATCAAATTATTATTTTAAAAATTGGTCAAAATACAATTTTTTTAATCATCTAACAAATATTTTGATAATACCGTCCAGAGGTCCTTCAGCATCACACAAATAAAAGGTTTGGGATATCACTATAACAAATGAAAGATTAGGATAAAAGACACGATGAGTTCAAATTTCGGGACCGCAACTTTAAATATCCCTAAATTTATTTACAATGGGTTCTTACTCAAAAAATAAATAATAAATAACTAAAGGAAGGAAATTAAGAAAGCCAAGAAGCACTACAAAGGCAAGTGGGATGAGAAAAAACCAAACTTGCCCTTACGGAAGGCCTTATCAGAATAATATCCGCACATAAATATCTTTATTTCACTCCTAAAGGCTAAAATCTCTTCAAAACCCTACTGAAAAAGAGAGAACGCAGAGCAAAACCTTATCTTCGTCCAACACGAGCAATGGCTGCCTACGCCTCGTCTCTTTACATTATCCCTCAAACCCTTTCTCTCTCTCGCCGCTCCTCAACTGCTTACTCTTTTCTACTCTTTACTCCCTCTTCTCTTAAACCTCTCCCAAAACTTGCGCTATCAATATCCTCTAGAAATTCTAATGGTATTATTAGCAGTTATGCGGAGCCCGTTTATAAATTTGCGCGAACAGCTGCTGTCGCGTCTGAGTTGGACGAATTGGAAATGGGAGAAGAGAATGAGGGCTTTGATTTTTCTAGTGCGGAGGAGCGTAGCTTCTCGCCTGACCTTAAGCTTTTTGTGGGAAATTTGCCTTTCAATGTTGACAGTGCTGTTCTTGCAGGCTTGTTTGAACAAGCCGGAAATGTTGAGATGGTTGAGGTAATTTATACTTCTGCTTTTGTTCTTTAAATTACAGTATTCTGGAAGAAATGGTTTCCTTTTGGGGCTTTCTTTCTATTTTGTCTTTTTAGTATTCCATTTGAACACTGATACGTTTTGCTTGAATCTTTGGTATTATAAGTAGATTATGGACGGTCTCAGGAATTGTGATCTTGTTCGTGCCAATCAATCGATTTTATTACTTTGCATCTGTAGAATATTGAATTGCTTTCTATACTATTGGGAGAGGTATATTATTGTTAAATTCCTTTGCGAGATTAGATAAACTTGGATGGATCGTTTTTGGTGGTGTATTGGTTTTAGTAGCTTGCCGTGTAATCTGAGGTTGTGTATAGGGTGGGTTATGTACATTGCTACACGTATATATGTACTTAAATTGACTGTAAGGCTACATATTTTACTATTGCATCTGTCAACCTATAGTGAAAAAAGAAGTTGCTTCTTTTCCTTTTTTGATGATGGAATGTTAGCTTTTACTGAATGTTTAAATTTTCAGGTTATCTATGACAAGCTTACAGGAAGAAGCAGAGGGTTTGGTTTCGTTACAATGTCTACCGTAGAGGAAGCTGAAGTTGCTGCTCAACAATTTAATGGATATGTAAGTTTCCTGTATTTATTGAGCTTTAAGGATACATAAATCTACTGGCATCTATACATTGTAAACATAGTATACATATGAAGTTGTATCTACATTTGAATTGCGATATTCTTACGAATTTTTGGCTACTTGTGCATCAAGTCTTGAGTTTGTTTATTCAAACTGAGTCTTAATTCAAGAATCACCTTGTCTGTTAGGAACTTGAGGGCAGACCAATGAGGGTGAATTCTGGACCTCCGCCTCCTAAGAGGGAAGGTTCTTCGTTCAGAGGACCTAGGGGAGATAGGGAAGGTTATTCGTTCAGAGGACCTAGGGGAGATAGGGAAGGGGAAGGTTATTCGTTCAGAGGACCTAGGGGAGATAGGGAAGGTTCTTCATTCAGAGGACCTAGGGGAGATAGGGATGGTTCTTCATTCAGAGGATCAAGGGGAGGGTCGAGGACAAGTTTCGATAATAGCAACAGAGTTTATGTGGGAAACCTGTCATGGGGAGTTGACGACCTTGCTCTTGAAACCTTGTTCAGTGAGCAAGGAAAGGTTATGGAGGCCAAAGTGGTTTATGACAGAGAGAGTGGTAGATCAAGGGGTTTTGGGTTTGTGACTTACAGTTCTGCTCATGAGGTCAACAATGCAGTCGAATCATTGGATGGCACGGTAAGTTTATTCTTCAGGCAAATTACTTGTTCCTTTCTTTACCCAAACGTATGCATGTATATCATTGTCCTTCTAAATGCATGTTTATACATGTTTTAAAATAATAGCTATTAAACGTGGTATAGCCTGAAGGTTAGAATTGTAACCCACTGAACCAAACATTAAGGAATTGAAAGTCACCAGGACGTGGATGGTTTTATGTCTAGACTGGTGGCCCTAACAGGTTTGACTTTTAAAATGGAACACTAGCTAGAAGCCTTGAACTGAAGGTTGGGGTTATGAATTAACAATATATATTCCTTTCATGCCTGCAAACAGGCATATGCTGTGAGACATCTCGAATTTATAATTAAAAAATGAGATTATTTCAATGTACTAATAAAACAAAGTTATCAAGTATCCCTCTATGCCTTGAGCAGCAATGTTACAGTAGTTTGTGTCTAAAAAGTGCATATTATACCTTATGGGTGCCATATTTATTGATTCTAATGTTTACAATGAAATGTCTTTGTGCAGGACCTCAATGGCAGGTCAATTCGAGTAAGCCCTGCTGAAGCTCGTCCAAGCCGTCAGTTTTAATTGCCGAATAATTCATGAATGGATAAAACCTCGAAGGTATGTATCTAACTTACTTGGAATTGTTTATTCCTTGTTCATCTATTGATCTTGGTACAAGCAGCTTAAATACACATGATCTTACTAGATTTGAATACTATAGCAGGATACAGAAAAATAATTTATTGGTTAATGAAATACAATCAAATGATATTCCCATCTGAATTTTCAATTTATAATAAAGATTTGTTCGTCAAAATTTCTTGTCTCTTTGAACCTGCAAGTCCCACTACTACTCAATTTTTTATTTCTGATACATTTCTTATATCAGAGATACAGGAGTGACAGCTGCTCCTGCAACCGAAGCCGATGAATGATTATGATTAGAAGAATTTTCTACTTGCACTCAAAGTTGCAAATATGGATCTGACTCTTATGTCTGCGCTAACCAGACCGATAGTGTTTTGAGTTCATAAATGTATATTTTGAATGTCATCCCGAAAAGATATAACTCTGTAATTCTTGCCTGTCACTTTTTGCGGAATACACAATCTTTTGATCATTTAGCTTTCAGTTGTATGCAATATGAAGGGTTTTGTGACTGGTAAAATGATAATGCAGATTTTTGTCCTAATGCTGCCGGACACAATTCTGTTGACATTGCCATGAGTGTCAATGTGAAGGTGTTTGTGCTAGACTTGAGAGTTTGTACAGCTTGGTTTATTCTTCAAACAAATTGAGCCATGACATTAATTAAATTACTTTTGGGTGATTGTTCCAAGCACTGGATACAACTAGAGATGTAAATTGCTTGGCACAGGTTTGGCCGTCCTATGTCCATGCTGTGCCCAGCTTTAAAGTCCCGGTCAGGTTACCAAAGACTGGGTTAGTAATAAAAGCATGCTGTAGGAGACCAGCAGCCTACAACAAAATTTATCTTTCACTAGATAGATAAGGCAACTTTGGTATTACAGATGCGCCTATTTCTCATTTTAAAAATTTATAGACGTTCTCTGATATTTGTTTTGGACAACAAATTCATCATTTATGTTTTTATGGGCCTGTTTGGCAGGTTTTTCTTTTTGTAGAGGAGTTTCCATGTCAATTTCTTTTAACACTCCTTGCAGCGCACATTCAGCCCGTCTGCCTCCACTTTTGGTGAGATTAAAATCTTCTTCCTCACACTTGCAAAGTGGGTGTGGATCCCAGTGTTAGAATTGTGTGAGAAGCAAGTCCAAAAAAAGATAGCCGTGAGCCCATTTGGAAGTGGCAACGGTCGATAAATTGATATAAATTTCGTTGAAAAGCAAGAACAGATGGGAGCTTAGAAATTTCGTAAAGCAGCTTCTTAGTGTTAGAAGTAGTTTTAACTGCTAAAAATCATGTGAAATTGGCAAGCTTGTGTCTTCACTATATTATTATAGTATTGGAGGAATTTTATCAATTTTTTCTGTTTATTATATCAGCAATACCAATAAGACTGACTGCTATATTACAAGTTTGTTAAATGTACATTGTCTTTGATATCAATTTATTGACATTTTTGTGAGTTAACAATTTTTTATATATTGATTTTAAAAATACTTTAAACAATCAATGACGGTTCACACAATGTCATCTGAAAATGTACATATAGATTAATTCACAATAAATGAAGCATGACCATTTCATGTAACTTGGAACATAAGCTTATAATGCAACAACTGATGGGAATAAGTGAGAGGAGATGAATCCAATATCAATCTACAGCATTTTTTTCAAGCCGAAGTGAATAAAGGCTGAAAGCTGTTGAATATTCAAATCATTATTTAAGCAAAAGTGAATAGGTGAAAGATACAAACAGTTTGGAAGAGGCTTTGTACTTTGTCGATGTTCTAACTAAATACCATGCCAATCAACCCGTGGTTTGCATCCTATTTTTGTTAATAGGCTGGCTGATAGACCTATGCAAAATCATGTAAATACAGAGCATGATCATGTGAATGCAGCTATACTCTGTTACTAAGGACGTCATATTCTTTTGTAAAGAAGTGCCTTCTTTTAACAACTTTTAGTGGGTAGGTTTTCACTAGTTTTCAATGTAAGAATAACGCTATATATCAGTTCTAGAACTTAGCACCATTTTAGGTGGCAGTAGACCTCATATCTTACAACTGGTGATAAGGTGGGTGCTAACTGCTGAGCACCCATGATGCTAGATGTCACTATCTTTACAATAATCCTGATAAAAGCTATGTAAGCAAGTCTTAAGTGCAGCATCTAAGATTATTTATTAAGCAAACTTTGTGCAATATATTTTTTTGTGTTCACCAGCCATTCTTGGCTTCCAAGAGACAACAATTTTCTAATTTAAGCCCCGTTTGTTTTCTATTATTTTCTCATTAAAATGAAAAATATGATCGTTATTCATCACATCAAGCCACCAAATTTGAATTTTTATCTTTTGTGTAGATCCGTAACGACTATATTTTTCATTCTCATTCTTTCAAAAATGAAAAACAAACGGGGCCTTAGTTGATTACAAGAATGCTAGATAACCAAACAAATAGACTTAAGGCCCGTTTCACATTACTTTTGAAAAATCAAAAGCTACTTCTGAAATTAAAAGTTACTTTTGAACAAATTTTAATAGTTTTCTTGAAATTATTTGTCTTGCTAGAAGAGTTTTCAGAGAAAGTTGATTTATAATAATTTTTCGATTAAACTCTTCTACTAGAAGCAAAAGCAAAAGTAAAATTCCTAACAAACGAATCCCTAATTCAAAGAGAGCGTAGAATCTTGTTGCACCTTCCAGAAGTGGACAGCCATAAAATGCAGAACACTTCTAGTTAAAAATAAAAAATAAAAAATAAATAAAAATAAAAATTGATCATGTTAATCATCCGTTACCTCTAACCAACCAAGAAACTGGACCATCATCAGACTGACAAACAAGAACGTGTGGCCTAAAAATGAAGCGGCTAAATAGAATCAGTACATATAAGCTTTACCTTTCTCCATTTACATGATGTTGGAGTCCATTGCCACATGGTTGCCGTGTCTTTGCATCGCTTTGCTGTGATGACTTAGCATTGACGTAGTGTGATTTTCTCCTCCAAAATATGTTCCAACTTCTCTTTGTCTTAACCAGTTTCTGGAAGTCCTTTCTCATGCTTTGACACTCCTTCTCAAGATCGGACACGCGTTCCCTCATATCCTCCATGCCATCATTTTTCGAGAGGACTGAATTGGGATTTTGAGAGTTCTCGAGATTGTCAGAAACAAAGAACCAACCAGAAATGGATGTCCGTAGCCTCAGCTGTTCGAAAAATAAGACTTGCACAATCACTCTGAGGGGCAGTCTCTCATTTTGGGCAGCATGAGTACTTGCCTCCAATGAGAGCTTTTGGCAGTTCATGAGCCTACATATTTGCTCCCTCTCAGAGTCTGTGAGCCAAGGATGTGCCTGACATTATGATACATGTTAGCAATTTATTCTGGAGATTTGTATCAAAGAAAAGTGAAAGTTTACCTTCAAATATATATCAATTGCACGATAAATGCCGTCAGAAACCGGCCTTGCATAATCAGGAACTGCAGCAGCTAAGGACTGGAATTTAGGGAACTTCAAATTAACGTCTGCTGACACATCAGAAAGATATGCATCGACCAGATTAGCCACCATTGTCATTGAAGTCAACGAATGGGTCCCTTCCGTTAATTGACTTTCTTCGACTATACATGGAGAAGCAGCAGCAGAAGGCTGGTCTATTGACATGAAATTGTCTAGAATCCTCTGAAAACAGTCTATGTCATATAAAGTTTCCACGGAATATCCCATGTTCGGTATTAGTAGATCTTCCAAAGCTGCTAGGTCTAACTGCAGCCCAACCCTTCTCTCCAAGTTTTCCCTGCATGATGGACTCGCCTGCAAAACCATAGCAGTCCGGAGCAACCTAAGTAGGAACCTAGTATGTATTACTCCTTTCTGGTTTGGAAGTATCTCAACTATCTCTTCAAGAAGTGCCCTCTGGTCTGCCTCGGATGGGATAGAAATTGTTGAACCTGAATTTAAGTTCTTGAAGCTCGACTGCCTATTCATCTGGGGAATGTATTTCTTAGCATAGAACACGAGAGCTCCAGCAATATTCTCGGGCGTCATGCCTCCCACTTCGACAGCTTGGATTAACCGTTTATAGAGAGGTAAACTGAGGAATGAAACATCCTCAAACCACCAATCATCACTTATGGGCCGGGGTTTTATTGAAGTAAGTATACCGTTCCATAGTGAAACACCTGTTGCCCGTCTTGCCTCGTTGCATCCGGACACAGGCCAATTGAATAACTTAGGATCAGCACAAGCCTTCATTGCCAAGGAGTGAATACATCTTGAAACAATGTGGAGCTCCTCGGCTTGTGGAAGAACTTCTTCGCAGGTTTCAAGAGCTTTTATTGTGTCTGTCCAATTGCTAAAAATGTCGTTGAGAAAAGCTTCTGTTTGTGCAATGAGATTTCCCTCTCCATGCTCTTCATTCATTTGAAGGTACTCAGCTGCACATCTAAGACTCACAACATTCATAGAAGTGAGTTCTATTTTAACGCCATAGCAGAATTTGGCTACTAACTCAAAAGCTTTAGCTCCACCCGGCAACTGACCAAGTTGTAAAGCACATACAGATCCATCAACACTCTGAGATTCACCAATAAGTTTCTCAAGAAGCCCACTTCTTGACAGCAAAGGAAACTGCAATTTGCAATAAACTTATTGGGAATCTCGATTATGCAAAACTACGATGGTGACTAATTAATAGAAAAATGATGCAAAATTATGATCGGTGACTAATTAACAGAAAAATTATCTCATTTAACAGTGCTATTACTAACTCATGCTGCAGCTAAAACATGAATTAGGCCTCAAAAGCTCAAGTATACACCTTGTGAAGATGAAAGGACATTTCTCCGATTTCAATCGTGACGTCACTCTGGAGGCCAGATGTGCAATGCCTGCAAAGATCACACGAGAAGCTTCATGAAAAAAAGTAAGATGGCAGTATGAATGCAGCCAAATTATTTCAAGACGGAAATTAATCACAATATTGTAGACGAAACATACTAAACAATTTAATCCAAGATAAACATAACTATATTGGTTATCCAATAGAAACCCAATGAGAAAATTTTTAACCTCACATCTTAAGGCACCATCCAAAAAGAGATGCTCAAGTTCCCACATTCTGTAAGAATCATAGAATTTTATAGCAATAAACACAGTTTAAAATGAAACAAAACCCTAACTTTCAACCTTGATGAAGAACACAAAATATAATAAAATCAAATTGAGCAAATGATGCAATCTCTCATTGAAGAAATGTCTGAAGGATCTATCTCTTCAGTTCACTCTTCATATCCAAAAATTGTTCATTTGGGTAAACATTGTAATAAAAGATTAAATACATAATGATTAAACAATACAGTAAATCCACACATTCTGAATCAAACCCACTAACATCTCCCTCGCCCAAACAATTTCACTTCGTTCCATAAGGACCATAACCATTAATAATTAACAATAGTAAAGAAAATTAAACTGGGTTAAATAAAGTGATTTTAGGCTTACCAAGATTGGCCATCGCGATGAAATGCTTCAGATTTCGAGCCTAGTTTAATGCACGCCATGAATCAATACTTCT